ATCTGCAGTCTCTCTCCTTGGTGGCCTGGCATGGAAGCGGTAGGATGTCCTGATTAAGACAAACACAGTTGGCCGGGCATGGTGGCTCACGACTGTAATCCCAGCACTTTGGAAAGCTGAGGTGGGCAGACTGCTTGAGCGCGTAAGTTCGAGACCAGCCTGGGAACCACAGGGAAACTCCCGTCTCTACAAAAAATTAAAAATTAGTTAGGTATAGTGTTGTGTGCCTATAGCCCTAGCTTCTCTTGAGGCTGAGGATGGAGGATTGCTTGAGCCTGAAAGTTTGAGGCTGCAATGCAATGAGCCATGATTGTGCCACTGCACTCCACCTTAGGCGACAGAGTGAGACACCATCTCTTAAAAAGACAAACATAACAATAACATCTTTTGGAAAACAGCAGGTACCCAGCAGATGCAACATTCAAGTGAATGAATGTTATATCTCAGACTGTGACTGTGAAATTAGAGCAAGGGTTGTTCTGCCTCATGAGATCAGTTTCTGAGGTCTCTTTTCCATTTTCCCATGAGTCTTTGAAGATTATCTCTTCAACACATTGCCTTTGGCCTGTAGGCAGTGTACATGACCCAGTTCAAATCTCATCTAAGTATCCACTTCCTCGGTGTCAAACAGGTAGGACTACTGAAAAGTGAGAACAGGATTTGGGATTTCTGCGGTGCTGGTTAGTATGTGCGATCCCCAAACACGGGAAGCTGACCTCACCCTTCCAAGAGGTCTGAGCAAGCTCTTCTTGCAAGGTCCTCAGCTCCCACAAAGATGCCAAGTATTAAATTGATAAGGAGGATGTGAGAGCCTCTAGATTGGGGGAGGGGTGAGACCTCAGAAATCAATCCCCCAAAGCAAATTACATAACCAAAATATACATAAAAGGATGCACAATGTCCAGTATCTTTTAGGTTCTACCCCCCTTATTTTTCCTATTGTGTCTGTGCTGTGGTCCTTAAGCTGAATTCTCTCATCTATTTCTTACTTTAGGCAGACATAGGGCAGAACAGAGAGTGTTTCTGTGAAGCATCCTCCTTTGGGTTTCAGATTGGTCCCACAATCTGAGACTCTACTGTAAGGAAACAGAGGTGGTGCCAATATTAGGAGGCAAGGAGTGTCAGGGCACAGGCCAGTATTTAAAGAAGTATTTCCTCAAAATATTAGTTGTTTTGTTTTGTTTTGTTTTTCACAAAACACTCTGCAGTCATTAACCCCACAAAGGAACTCTGCCGACTTCAGTGAGCAGCAGCATGATTGTTCTTACTGAAAACGGTGAAGCAAGCCAGGCAAGCACCTGTAGTCCCAGCTACTTGGGAGGCTGAGGCAGGAGGATCGCTTAAGCCCTGGGAGTGAGTCCAGCTTGGGCAACACAGAAAGACCTTGTATCTTTAAAACAAACAAACAAACAAACAAAAAATGGTGAAGCAGCTTCACCTGGGAGACTGGGTATGTCTAATGAGGTCAGGTAGTTTGTTGAAGGCCGTTTAGAGGAAGATCTAATTTACTGAATAACCAATTCACAGAGTAGGCTTGTTTGGTCATTTGTCTCCATAAGAGCATTTTAAGGACTATTTAGTTTGTCTCTGTCTGTGCTCCTTGCTGCTGTAGTTGGAGTCCAAAGGTCAGGAAAAAGGAAAGACTGGGTAGGCCTAAGTAGAACATAAGCTTCAATGTGAAGAACTCTTATCAGTATATCCTTTTTGTTTTGTTTTCAAATAGTCTCACTCTGTCACTCAGGCTGGAGTGCAATGGTGTGATCTCGGCTCACTGCACCCTCCGCCTCCCAGGTTCAAGCGATTCTCTTGCCGCATACTCCCGAGTAGCTGGGATTACAGGCACCCACCACCATGCCTGGCTAATTTTGATACTTTTCGTAGAGGTGGGGTTTCACCATATTGGCTAGGCTGGTCTTAAACTCCTGACCTCAAGTGATCCACCCGCCTTGGCCTCTCAAAGTGCTGGGATTACTGGTGTGAGCCACCGCGACCGGCCAGTGTAGACTTCTTTCTTTTCACGTTAGTCTCCGGGTACAGATTCAAGAAGTCAGAGCAGGCAAAAATGGAATATATGTTCTTCTAGAATACATTCTTTTAAATATATTTAATGAACATCTTCCTCACTGTGAAGAAATCTTATGTCCCCTGCTGTTTCCTCTCTTTATCTCTGAGTCTCAGTTGAGCTACAGGAAGCTGGAGCAAAGACAAATTCAACATGCTTTAAAATGTAATGAAAAACAAAATGATCTCAAGTCAACTAAATTATCATAGAAATAACTAAATTTGGTGAATTGGTCATTTTTGGCAAATTCATTCAGAATTGACCCTCTGGGTCGAAGATGGAGTGCTTTTCTTTAGAGTCAAAGACCTGAACCCTACAAAAGAAACATTTATTGGTTTCCACCTTGGATGTTAACATGTGGCAGAATGATGGCAGATCCTCTGGTTGGGGTCAGAAAAATCATATGTGGTGCTACCCCAGGGTCCAGTTCTGGGTTTCCATCTTTTTTTTTTTTTTTTTTTTTGACATGGAGTTTCGATGTTTATTGCCCAGGCTGGAGTACAATGGCATGATCTTGGCTCACTGCAACCTCTACCTCCCAGGTTCAAGTGATTCTCTTGCCTCAGCCTCCCGAGTAGCTGAGATTACAGGCACCCACCACCATGCCCAGCTAATTTTTGTATTTTTAGTAGAGAAGGGGTTTCACCATGTTGGCCAGGCTGGTCTCGAACTCCTGACCTCAGGGGATTCACCTGCCTTGGCCTCCCAAATTGCTGGGATTATAGGCGTGAGCCACCACACTTGGCGCTAAGTTTTCATCTTTATGGAGATCATGAATTAGCTTCAGAAACAGTAATAAACCCTATCATATACTGTATCTGATTCTTGACAAATATTTGAGAAATGACTCAGAGACAAGTTTCTATTGGGTGATAACCAGAGAATGGCTTCATGGAAACCAGATATGGCAGTTTTGTACCTCAAGGATATGAGGATACTAAAACATGAGGCTGATTCTTATATAGTATAGCTTACTGGTCCAAAATGAATCACTAAAGTTTGCTTGGAATTTAAAAGCTTAAAACAGAGTAGCCTTCCTCCTTGGTTTTATCCCAGAATCTGGAGCTTGTTGAAGAACATATCTTACATGTTGCTATGCAATAAGCATAGACCAAAGCCTAAGCCTGCAGACTGCCTGTACACCAAAAGAGGTGCACATGTGTACAGCAGGAATAGCAAAGAATGAAGTCAAGAAACCGAAATGTTTCTGTAATAGGCGGAAATGCCAGATAAGGAGCAAAGATCATCAGTTATTTCCCATATAGCTGCAAAATCGACTCCTAAAGGAGGACCCAATGGAAAGAAAAGCCACAGTGAAAAGAAGCAATGATCCCAGATTTTAGATGCAGATGAATACATGACAATTCTAGCAAGTGTACATATTCAGATTCCGAAACATTTAATGATGATAACAATGTCTAGTTTTACCCCCTAGACCACAGCAAATTCTTCATGGAGGCACATCACACGGATCGCTGCATAATTCAAGAGCCAATATTAAGAAAAAAAAGTATTACATGAAGTAATATGTGAGCTGATGAGGAGTTTGGTGCTTTAGTTGAGTGACAGAGTAAAGCAATAGATTTATGTTCTGGAATATCTAACATAAACTTGATTAAGGACCAAACATAAAGGAACGCAACTAAGCAGGACTGATTTCATTTATTCATGCGAGCAACATTAATTGAGCTCCAACTATATGCTCAACTCTGTAATGAGGCATGATAGGAGATACCAAAGACTGTTTCAGTGAGTAACGTACATTCCAATTAGGAAAATATGCCTCATCCACACACGAAAACATAAATGACAGGAGGCAATACACTTCGGCCAAGTGACAATGAAATTAGTTATGATTTATTAAATATTTTTATACTAGCCAGGCTTGTGCTAAATGCTTTATATTCATCCTTTTGATCTTAAGTCATACTGTGAGGTAGGTGCTATGATTATCCTCATTTTACAGATGACAACACTGAAGTTCAAACATGCAAAACAGTATGCCAAAGGTCATACCACTTGTAAATAGCAGAACTGACATTTGAACTCAAACTGAACTGACTCCGAGTCCTAAGCTCTTATTAAAGAAATGGCTATAGAAGGCCGGGCGCGGTGGCTCACGCCTGTAATCCCAGCACTTTGGGAGGCCGAGGCGGGTGGATCACGAGGTCAAGAGATCGAGACCAGCCTGGCCAACATGGCGAAACCCCGTCTCTACTAAAAATACAAAAATTAGCTGGGCGTTGTGGCGCACACCTGTAGTCCCAGCTACTCAGGAGGCTGAGGCAGGAGAATTGCGTGAACCCAGGAGGCGGAGGTTTCGGTGAGCCGAGATCGCGCCATTGCACTCCAGCCTGGGTAACAAGAGCGAAACTCCGTCTCAAAAAAAAGAAAAGAAAGAAATGGCTATAGAAATTCAGAAAAAAAGGGAAGGCTAATAGAGATGCTGACCTGGCCGTTAAGGAAAGGTAGGCTTCAGTTGGTCAAGGAGAAAAGGAAGGGCCGAAGGGTTCAAGCGTAGAGTAAATGTCTGGAGACTGGCAAAGAGCTTGTGGAAACAATGATTACTTTAGTCTAGCTGTCCAGTGAATTCCTATGTGGGCCAGATTTTGGTGGACACTGAATACCAGGCCGAAGATTGTGAACTGTAAGTTAAAAGCAGCCACAAAACATTACAATGAATGCCAAGTTTCAAGCTGTAGACCTGTGAGCGATGAACTGCGAACCTGGCGGCGGAAGCGGCGCCCAGGTGGCAAGGGGCGGGGTCACAGGCTCCAGAAGTGTCGCTGGGGCACTTGTCCGGGCCTCCCCCTTTTTCTTCCGGGCTGGGCCCCGCTACTTCGGTTCCGCTAGGCGGCGGAGACGGCGCCAGGGGCGGGGCTCCAATCTTGCCCGCAGAGGGGTGCCCAGGCGGCCGCGGTGGGCGGCCCTCTTTCTTTTGCTTCGGGTGTGATTGGCACCCGTCTCGGAGGCCTCCTCACTACCACGCAGCGAAGCCGACTAGTCCCCTGCCCAGAGCCAGGTTCACCTAAACTCCCGCGGACAGCCTCCTTTTTCGTCCCCCACCCCCCAGTGTCGCGACTCTAAGGGTTCCGCTCTGCGGCGGAGGCGGGACCGGAGGCGGGAATGAGGGTACGGGGCCAGACGTCGTCACAGGCGGGAGGCGGGGCGGCCTCCTTACCTGTGCCCCTCAGGGTTCCAAGGGTTCCACTCTGCGGTAGGGGCGGAGGTGGGGTGGAGGCGGGGCAGGAGGGGCCAAGGCGCCCAGGTGGCCTCGGCTGGGGCTGACAGCCGGCTGGGGAGAGAAGGGACTCGGAGGAACGTGGTTCCCGCCGGTTGCTGATTTCTCAGCGGCTCTCCCGGACCGCCCCCTTTTCCTTCCCCCTCAGGCCACGACTTGGAGGGTTCCGCTCTGCAGCGGGAGCGGGGCCAGGGACGGGTCTGAGCGCGGCCTGGGCGGGCTGGACTCTTTTTCCCGCCCGGGGGACCTCTTTCCGACCGCCGGGACGTAAAAGGGGCTCGGCAGGGGCGTCCTCGCTCTAGCGTCCCGGGTCCCGCCAGCGTCGGGAGCCCAGCGGGCCCGGCCTAGGCGGGACCTTTGTCGCGCCAGCCCCCGTCCCCTCCCCCGCGCCTCTGGTTGGCTTGCTTTCCAGCCAGACTTTGGGGCTAGCGTTTAGAAAAGTCTCGACCTCCTCCGGCCCAGCCCCATCCCGAGAACTGACTGAGGCTGTGAGTGTCCAGGAACCAGGCCCGCTTGGAGGCCAGAGCCTCGACGTCCCGCGCCCACGCGGCAGAGTGGGCTCTGCGGCCCAGGAGACTCGGGGAGATGCGGAGCAGGAGCAATTCCGGGGTCCGCTTGGACGGGTACGCGCGGCTGGTGCAGCAAACCATCCTGTGTTACCAGGTAAAGACGGACCGCCCACAGGGAACGCTTAGAACTGCCCTCTCGTGTCACTCAGTCTCCTCCCCAGGCCTCTGGCCCTCTTGCGACCTGAGACCTTGCAATTGAGTTTCCTATTTGAATCTAGTCCTTGCTAGCCAGTGATTGACCCCATTGCCACCTGTGCTCCTTAAAATTCAGGGGACCTAATTGTTGCTACGGCTACTTTTCACAGAATTCTTTGGCCATTGTTCAGGATGAGAATGAGCCTCACCTGTGCCCTGGGTCCAAACTGCCTCTTTGCATTACTCTGCTTTTTTTGGACGAGAAAAGAGGTATGGGGGTGTTGGACAGACAACACTGAATGAAAACACTAAACAGGAGTGAAGAAGTTCCTTAAGTTGACACAGGACTCTGCAGTGCGGGGCGACAGCTTCTGTCCCTCCCATGAGCTGCCTTGGTAGAGACCCACCTGGGAGGCCTTTACATTGATTGCTGTTTTACAGGTAAGAAAATTGTAAGGCCAGAAAGGTCACTACATGTAGCAGGTCAGCCCCGAAATCTCCCAAACTCACAGGGCCCTATGACACTGCCCATGTGGCCCGAGGTCTGAATGTGCCTGCTATGCTTTGTGTTCCTGGGCTAAAATTATTTGTGGGTCCATCAATGTAAGACCACTGAACTATTTTTATTCCCAGTGAAGACAGCAGCTATGTTTCTTGCCCTCAATCAACAGCAACTATTTATAGGGCCTTCAAAGTCAAAGGAAGGGAGTGGCATTCACGGTTTAGAGGCCTGGCCTGCAAGTTTGGAGCCATGGTCATTTCCAAGGCACTGACCATTTTCCCTTCTTAGCTAATTTCTTAGTCTTGCTTCCTCACTTAGGAAATATTTGTGGTGTATCTGTTATATGCAAGGCACTCGACAAAGTGCTGGGGTTACAAAGAATAAATAATCATAGTGCAGTAACATTTATTCATAGGATATAGGTCCAAAGTCCCTTATCTGGTTTGGTTTGGTTTTGTTGTTTGAGACAGGATCTCACTCTATCGCCCAGGTTGCAATGCAGTGGCGTGATCTCGGGTCACTGCAGCCTCCCCCTCTTGGGTTCAAGGGATTCTCCTGCCTCAGCCTCCCGAGTAGCTGGGACTACACGTGTGTGCCACCACACGTGGCTAATTTTTGCATTTTTAGTAGTGACGGGGGTTTCACTGCACTGGCCAGAATGGTCTCAAACCCCTGACCTCAAGTCATCCTCTCACCTCAGCCTCCCAAAAGGGCTGGTATTACAGGCATGAGCCACTGCACCTGGCCTCAGAGTCCGTTAATCTGAAACCCTGTGGATCAGTTGTGGTTTGCCCGTCAGAAATGTTTGGCTTTTAGAAAGGTAATATGCATACAACGTACTGTGTATGCCATAATAACTACAGCCAGATCTGAGCAGTACTCCTTCATCAAACAGGTTGTTACTTCCACATCAGAACAGGAGTATTCACACTGAGTGGGATAAGAAAAGGCTGAAGAGAGTTTCACATTAGTTCGGTTCATCTCTGGCCATCAGAGAGCTTGCTGCAAACTTAGGAAAACACTTTTAAGTTTTCAGAGCTTACTGGCTTTTGAGATTGCACATGAAGGATTATGGTCTTTATTTTGGGAGCTTTGAGGAAGGACCCCTCACCCAGTTTGTGGGAGCAGGAGAGGAGTCCTATAAGGAATGAAGTTCAAGTTGAGAGCAGGAGAAGAAGTAGGCAGGCAAATGAAGGTTATTTTTTCCCTTCCTCCTTGGAATATAATTACATCTATAAAGTGTTTTAAAATCCAAATGGAGGGCTGGGTGCGGTGGCTCACGCCTGTAATCCCAATACTTTGGGAGGCTGAGGCAGGCAGATCCAAGGTCAGGAGATCAAGACTAGCCTGGCCCACAAAATGAAACCCCATCTCTACTAAAAATACAAAAATTAGCCGGGCATGGTGGCGTGCACCTGTAGTCCCAGCTACTTGAGAGGCTGAGGCAGAATTGCTTGAATCCGGGAGGCGGAGATTGCAGTAAGCCGAGATCATGCCACTGCACTTCAGCTTGAGCGACAGAGTAAGACTTCGTCTCAAAAAAAAGAAAAAAAAATCCAACCCCAGGCCTTGTGGTCCTCGCAGGAGTACTCTGGCTTATTGCGGGCCCTTTCCTGAAGGTCCTGCTACAGCTACTCATTCCTTGAGCGTTATTATATCTCCCCATTGATGCCATCAGATCCTAAGTACAGGACTTCATCAATTTCTTTGCGTCAAGCAGTGGCCCAAAGCATGAAAGGTACTCTTTTTTTTTTTTTTTTTTGGAGACAGAGTCTCGCTCTGTCACCCAGGCTGGAGTGCAGCGGCTCGATCTTGGCTTACTGCAACCTCCGCCTCTCAGGTTTAAGTGATTTTCTTGGGTCAGCCTCCTGAGTAGCTGGAACACAGGTGCACACTGCTACGCCTAGCTAACTTTTTATATTTTAGTAGAGACAGGTTTCACTCTGTTGCCCAGGCTGGTCTCTAACTTCTGAGCTCAGGCAATCCACCCATCTCAGCCTCCCAAAGTGCTAGGATTACAGGCGTGAGCCGCCGCACCTGGCTGAAAGCTACTCTGAAGTCCTTGATGATAAAAGACTTCCTGCAGGATCTGAGCCATCCTAATGGCCCAGTTACCTGTCCAGGTTTGCCTTCCCTCAGAAGCAAAAGAATTGTCTTCTCATTAAAGCAAATCTGTGGGATTGGACTTTCCTCCCCAGCATTTTAATGATTAAAAAAAAAGTTGTGTGAGGCTTTAGTTGTATTTATTTTGGGGGTAGTTGGGGAGTAGCCCTTGTGTTTGCCCTCCTTTTCCCTTCCTGTGTTGTCAAGCTCTTCTGGCTAACCAGAATACTCCAAGCACAGTTCTGCAGGGAAATCCCATGCATCCACAAGTGCAGAATCGCACCCATCCACCCCCACAACTAGTGTTCACAGTGGGAGAACCCTGACCCATTCAAGGCCTCATTACCGCTGAGAAATCTTAGGAAGGTCACCTAACTACTCTGGAAAAAGGAATAAGCACTTTTATGTTATGTATGTGTTACCACAATTAAAAAAAGAATGAGCTGCACGAAAGATTTCTAAAGTTTATGCTGACTCTCCCCACCTTCTGTAGATAATGTGCAAGATGTTTATGAGGCGTTTTTTAATGTCAGCTGGTAACAAGCTCTGAACTGTTTCTGATTTGCTTTTTAAATTGAGATTGATTTACATTGGTTTCATCTGCTAGAAATCATTTGTGTTAAATATGTCAAGCTAATCATCATTCTTCTGTTAGAGGCAATAGTTGGTTCCTATCAGCTAACATCTTAACTAATCCCTTTTTCTATATCTGTGAAAGAGAAGAACATTTCCCATTAGTCATTTGCCAAATAGACTTGCTGCTAAATATTATTTGAAACTGTAATGCAAAGAATGAAAGAGCTATGGTTACAAAAGGGTTCTTTTGCAGGTTTGATTTTGTAAATATATACTCTAGGAAGTATCTTTAAAAATTTCTTGCCTTTGCCGGGCGTGGTGGCTCACACCTGTAATCCAAGCACTTAGGAGGCCAAGGCAGGCGGATCACCTGAGGTCAGGAGTTCAAGACCAGCCTGATCAACATAGTGAAACCGCGCCCCCCTCCCCCCCCCCGTCTTAAAAAAAAAAAAAATTGTTGCCTTTAAAAGAAGAAATTTTTAGATTGTTTTGGCTCAGGTAAGAAATACGAACTTCATACATCTTTTTTACTAACAACTGTTTGAAGGCTCCTTAATGAAAGTATGAAGCATGAAGTAGTGATAAGAGAATATGGTTCAGAAGGAGAAGCAATGATCAAGGCAGTGTTCCCTGTAATGACAGATTATTTGGGATAATAAAGCAAATAACTAAGAGCCTGGGACAGTAAATCTTGTAAATGGCCATGGAATTTAAAATGAGAAGAATGGAATAAGTAAAACATGGAGTATGGAACAAATAGTAATAAGAGGAATTGGGGAGAGAGTTAAAAAAGATATAATTAAGTACTAGAAAATAATAATATGGCAGAAGAATAGGAAGAGACTGGAATGAAAGCATTCCTTTTTTTTTTTTTTTTTTTTTTTGAGATGGAGTCTGGCCCTGTTGCCCAGCCTAGAGTGCAGTGGCATGATCTCAGCTCACTGTAGCCTCTAATTCCTGAGTTCCAGCGATTCTCCTGCCTCAGCCTCCGGAGTGGCTAGGATTACAGGGGTGTGCCACCACACCTGGCTAATTTTTGTATTTTAAGTAGAGATGGGATTTCACCATGCCAAACTGGTCTTGAACTTTTGACCTCAAGTGATCTGCCCACCTTGGCCTCCCAAAGTGCTGGGATTACAGGCATGAGCCACCTCTCCTGGCCAGAAGTGAAAGCATCCTAAGGGCTTTATCCCATTAAGAAGGAGGATAAAGGTGTTATCATAGCTTTTTTAAGTTAAGAGTTTGTGTTTAAGCAGTACCATTAATATATGTGGAATATATAACTTTTAAAATGATAGAGGAATAAAGAAAATCTGATCATCTGAGTGAAGGGAGGAAAAGAGTGCTGGGGAGGGTAGGAAGTAAAAAAAATATGGCAATTATAAAGTACAAAATAAGAAGATGCAAATAAATCCAACTGCACAGTATTAATCACAACAAGAGTCTTTCTCGTTAGTGTAGTGGTGAGGATCTCTGCCTGTCACAAGTATAAATTCTGAAATCCACTAGATAATAGAAATTATTATTATTTTGAGACAGAGTCTTGCTCTGTCACCCAAGCTGGACTGCAGTGGCATGATCTTGGCTCACTACAACCTCTGCCTCCCAAGTTCAGGCAATTCTCCTGCCTTAGCCTCCTGAGTAGCTGGGATTACAGGCACCATTATGCCTAGCTAATTTTTATATTTTTAGTAGAGACAGGGTTTCGCCATGTTGGCCAGGCTGGTCTCGAACTCCTGACCTCAGGTGATCCGCCTGCCTTGGCCTCCCAAAGTGCT